GGGGGGTGTTGTTTCACGCTAGGATGTCTAATACATGTCTCACTTACATACCGTTTGGCTCAAGGAAAATCAGGTGCGACTTGTTGGTAGTTCTCGGTCGTTTACCTGTAACTACAAGATCGCACGGGATCTCCGCGTCCGTTCCGCTCTGTTTGCCATGGGCCAGGATGGGATTCCTGGATGCGCAACGTGCCAAGGGCCACCCAGGCATCGGGAAAGGCAAAAGGGAGGAGAATCAATGGAGGAGAAGAATGGAGATGACTTGGATTGGTCACCCCATTTGTTGGGGGATTGGTCCATGAAAAAGAAACAACAGATGGATTCTGAATGGTCAATCATATAACCTTAAGATTCTCTTGCGAGTCGAAGCAGCCTCGTGGGCGAGGGAACCGGAAACATCCGCTGCCTACATTCTCCTGCGGTCGAGGCTAACCCGCAAATGGCAGGCCCAAGAATGTGGCCAACCGTAAGAATCCTTGGGCCCTCCATAGTGGGGGCCGCGCCCTCAAAATTCCATCTGTTTGAGGGCCCGGATTCTTAGGGAAGCAATTTGAAACTCCAACGAACTTAACGGTTCAAGCCAGCGAAGATATCATCACACCTTTGATCACGTGGGGGGAAAAAAAACTACACATCAACAGGTGCAATTCAGCTTACCTATTTGTCGTCACAGAGGAACATGATGGAGGCCATCGCTATTAGGTTGGAGGCCATCGCTATTAGGCTGGAGGCTATCGCTACTAGGAGCAAGAAGCTACTAGTAGCTCCTGGCATTTCACTTGCCATACACCGACTTGGCCGTTCAAGTTGGCTCAGCCAACGTTGCAAGACGTCTCAAAGAGCTGCCAAAGAATGTGCCGAAGAGCGATGACCAAGACCGACCGAGTTCGGCCGGATTGAGCTCGGTTTCTGCTCGGTTTTGAGCACCGGAAGCGGTTTTTGTGGCCCAAACTTCTGCTTTTCACAGGGAGGGAAAGACAACTGACCCACATGCGGAACCGCCCGCAAATAGAAGCTGTGCTTTTGACCTGTAACAGCAGATTTGCAGCTCGTGCTCTTGCTCTTGCTTGCGAAAGCAAGCTGACGCCAGATGGACCTGCAGCCAAATGGCTGTCAAAACCATAGCTCCAAACCCTGTTAGGTTGACCACGTAGACGCGACCGTTGCCCTTCTGTTCGGTGGTCAACCAGGGTTCCTTCGCACACACGACGCCCCACTCGCCCCGCGTCGGGTCGTCCGCAGGGCTCAGCGGACGCGAGTTCTACAGCTCCAAGTCCGGGGGCCCAGCGCCCGACGTTTTTTCGGACGCATCGAGAGAGAGGCATCACGGGGGAGCCGGGCTCGCGCCCGGAGTTGGAGGAACAAACAGATGCTTCAGTTGTTCAACTGAAAACCTATGAACTAGGAGCGATCGGACGCTAGGAACGGAGCATTTCGGGCATCGCGACTCGAACGGAGCGATCGGACGCTACGTTCGGGGCTCCTGGCCTTACTACGAACGGAGCAAGGACGCTAGTAGTAACAAGAATTAGAATTGGAAATTGAATTAGACCTATGTTCACATCTTTGCAGCGGCCTCGGGTCTTCTCTTCAAGTGTGTTGTCGTTTTTTGGCATCACAGCAGGCAGATCAGTGCCGTTTGATGATATGTCATGCGGGTTGATGGCACATCAGAGCTGGCACTACTGGTACGTTTCATGGTGGTTGGCTTATTTTCTCTTGAGGTACTGGATGCATGGATTGAGGGTGTCAACAGTCAGGGCAGTTCTGGGCAACCACTCGAACGACTGGAAGACCTCAATGAAGGGGTTCTACTTGTTTGAGGTGTGTTTTGCAGAGATACTCTATAAGCACATAATATGAGCTGGTGAGACCAAATGAAACCCAACCCTCGTCGAAGGTGATCCCCCCGACCCTTCCTTGGTGGGAGACTCTGCCAGCACGGACGTGGCGCTGGCGACACACGTCGCACCGCACCTCGCTGGTTTGGTTGGCGACCACGACAGCCGACCAGTGGTCCAGTGGACGAAGCGGAGCGCGCGCAGCGAAGAAAACGATCCGGATCTTTGAGGTGCATGAAGGCGGTGAACCAATGCATTGGCCGAAGTGTGCGACACGCGGCGCCTCTTGGCGGAAGACGTGACGGAGGGGTTCGATTGTGGGATCCGTCGGAAGGGTTCGATCGTGTTCCAGTTGTTTCAATTGGTAGTAAGGCACTTGTTCCTAGTAGCGAACCTTGTTACTACTAGTAAGGCACCTGTTACTACTAGCGTGGCACTTGTTACTACTAGCTTCCTACCCCTAGACTTCCAAGACCATTAAAAAAATGGTTGACCTGGTGTTTGTAGTGTAAAATCCTTTAATGGTGGTTGGAAGCCTGGGGTCACCAAAAGCGGCGTGGGCACACCAAAACAGTATACATCATAAATCATCATAAGGGCTGTTGAGACCTCCGATAGTGGTGTAGAGAAAGGACAGCAGCATCCATGCGAAAGAACACCCAAACCACGGATTCCGTCACCGGGCCTGGTTTGTGATGTTTCCGAGAGACTCCATTCAAAAGGAAAAGGCAGCTCAGTAGGAAATTGGGGGAACAGATCCAACCACCCTGAAACAATAAGCTAGTAGTAACAAGTGCATCGCTTCGTTCGTAACAAGTGCCTTACTAGTAGTAACAAGAAGCTACTAGTAACATTTTATTCCTCACCACACAGGCCGTTCGAGGCCGTTCAGATGAGGACTCGTGTCCCCGACCAATCGATTTGCCGGAGTCGGTCTCACGCACGTGTCCAGACCAGAAATTGAGGAAACACAGGGCCCGTTCCTGGCATCCGATCGCTCTTAGTTGAAGCATCTGCCCTAGAAGTCCAGTTCGACATACTTCGACTATATGTTGACTGGCTTGAAGTGTTCAGGAAGTTCCCTTTCAGGTCCCCTAGTCAGACCATTCTGTGTATAGTCTTTGACTCCCAGGGTATTTTTGGAGGTACCACTTAGTGAGCTACGACCTTCCACCCTGCCGGACTTTGCCGGGTTTGAGGGTGAACAGTGGGGATTGCACACCTCGTACACGCGGAGGTTCTACGCCTAAGAATCCAGGGACCTCTTCGCAGTCAGGTGTTCTTCATAGCAAACATCCGCACCTGAAGCACCAATTCCATCTTCGGGCACGGATTCTTAGGGTCCACAGTTCTTGCACATGGCGGACGCATGCCAGCGACGCATGCCAAGCGGTTTAGGATGCTAGGGCCACGACATGGTTCATGACATGCTTTTGGCCGGTCCCAATGTGGTGGAAGCCGGCAGCTGCCAGCTTCCTGCTTGAAATCTGCAAGGCTCATGGCCCCCAACATGAATCACTGGCACGTAAGCCACTCCTTTGCTCATGGTCACCAGCACCAATCCCAAACGATCTGTCCTTTAGAGTGTGTGTGTTCAGTTGGAGTCACGAACCTGAGTCAACCGGAGAACGGACGTCCAAATCCCTTTGTTCCGCCCGTCCACCGGGAGACGTTGGACGTCCACGTCCCCCGAGGGACTGGTCCGCGGTCCTGCTCCTGGACCACCGCTACGCGCGGCCGTGCATCCACGAGCAGATCTCACGTTGGTTGCGTGGGGTGACCTGCACACGGATGACACGGCGGATGCCAGGAATGACTCCAGACATGAGCAAAGTGGTTGGTGACCTACTAGTAAGGCACTTGTTACTACTAGTAAGGCACTTGTTACGAACGAAGCGATGCACTTGTTCCTAGTCGTAAGGCCCTTGCTCCTAGTAGCGTTGGTTGGGTCCTATGGATCGATTCCTGCAATGGAAGTGATGATTGCAGGGGTGAGCAGCTTCCGTACTGGCCAACAAAAGGGACGGAACCGTCTGACAACAGCCTGTGTTTGGTAGGCTAGTCCTAAGGTCAAAATCTCCTGAAGCCTCCGAGACTTGGAAGAGGTGAATTTTGTGAAATCTTAGGACTATGCGGTGGAGGCCATTGCTCTTAGGTTGGAGGCCATCGCTCTTAGGTTGGAGGCCATAGCTATTAGGTTGGTTAGGTTGGAGGCCATCGCTAGTAGGGAGGCCGTTGCTTCCAATCTCGGCAACAGCAATGCAGGAACCACCCGACATCAAGTATTCAGTGCTCCCAGTGCTCCCTGACACAGCACACCCAGTCGTAAGAGGCGGTCCACGGCTCAATAGACGGCCATGAAGTTTTGTAAGGTTTTGAGACGTCGCACACGTCGTAAACCTTTAGGCCTGACTTTGTTTCCCACGTACCACTAAGAATTGGCAGCGTTGAGACCGCAACCTGACTGGGGAGAGCTGAAAATGAGCGTTTCGCTACAACGAGACGCACGTTTTGTTTGTTTTCTGTGTGCAACGTATGTCATTGGTCCCACCGCACCACCCACCCCCACCCCATGTTATCACATAGCAAGTCAGTTCCGTACCTAGCAAGTGCAACGTGTGTCATTGACCTTATCCCGCCTCCCCACCTCTCCCCCTCAAGGACACCTCAAAAGTGCCGCAAATAACATAAAAACAGCACACACACACACACACACACACACTTCGAACTTCGAACTTGGATTTTCAGTTAATGCAATCTCCCGAGGAAAGGAATGGCTCAACGGTAAGGTGGAAAGTCAGCGCAATTGTAGATGTTTCAACAAGAAGGTTTTCCTACGTGACTGCGGAAAGCGCACAGCGGCAAAGCGGCTCCCGGCGGTTGTGGAGTCCCGGATTTTCCAGGGTTGAGAAGGTTGTATGTAGGTGATGGTGCGTTGTGGGAGGTCGATGTTGAAACCGAGGAGATGAAAATCCTCCACCGGTTCGAGTTCAACTGGGTCGCCAAAGAAATTGTGGTGGATGAGGGTTTGGATAGCCGGGTGTTGAAGGAAATGTTCGTTGTGGACAATGAAACGGTTGTCGACATATCGATAGTAAGTAAAGTGGAGGTCTGTGTGTTGAAGGAGGTTGTTGTGGATCTGATGCCATGAGTGCTCGATGAGGGTGATGGCAACGTTGCATAGGGCTAGAGAGAGCTGGGATCCAATCCCGGCCCCTCGAATTTGTTTGTAAGTATTGTTGCAAGCCCGGAAAATGCATGTGTTGAGGGCAAAAGCCACGATGGTGGTAATGTCGGAAGTTTGGATGGTGCGTTGGGTAGGGTGTTTCCGATGGTGTCTGCCAATGTGTGAGTGGTGGAAAGGATTGCCGGTGGCCTGGACATCCACCGTCAAGGTGTGTGTGGGTTGCTGTTGTTGCCAGTGGTGGACGAGGGAGTGAACTGCATCGATGAGTCGGTGCTGTGGGACTGAGTTGAAGAAGCCGACCAGGTCATCGTTGGTGGCGTGTAGTGAGATGTCTGGTGGTGTTTGGGTAAGGTAGCTGTGAGAGTGGTGCCAAAGCTGGGGAATGGACATTTGGCCGGGATGTTGAGGGTAGAGGTGTTGGAGGATGATGTCAAGGGCACGGCTGGTGATGCGAAGCAAGTTGCCACTGAGTGATTGGAAGTATGAAATAATTGTACGGCCTTTTTGCCAGTGCTTCTTCTCCTTGAGGTGGACAACTCCGTATGGAATGTTGAAGTCTTTTCGGAAGCCCCACTTGTAGCGTGTGCGCAAAATGGGGGGGACAGTGGCGGCCAGGTGATCGTGGATATTGGCGGCAGTGATGTAGGGAAGTGGTTCGAAAAGTTCGGGGGATTGCCAGGTGTTCAAGGCGCCAGTGAAATATTGGCGAGGGCAAAACAGCCGGAGTTGTTGGAGCTCATGGTCGGCATGGTGGAGTAATGTGTGTTTTCCCAAATGTTCTTGGAGTTGACGGAGCAGGCGGGCCGTAAAACGGGGTTGCTGCTTGAGGTGTGTGTTGCGAAGGCGCCATTGGTGTTCAAGGAAAGGCGGTAGGTGTTGAGCTAGGGATGGTGGAAGCCCCTGTAGTTTGAGCCATTTGGTGTAGGCCGTCGTGAAGATGAGGAAGTAACGAGCTTTGCTTGGGTAATAGGTGCTGTTCATATTGGCGTTGAGGAAAATGCTGAGGTGTGTAGGGAGTTGGAGTTGGTCAAGTGTAAGGATGTAGTGGCCATTGATGGTAGGGGTATCGGGATCCTGCAGGAGTGTGCGAAGGTGATCGCATGCACAGGGGAGGTCGGCTGGATCTGGCGGGGAGTGGAGGGTGTCCTCCCATGTGCGGTGGTTGTGGAGGTGGGAGCGGAGGGTTTTGTGGGCGGCTTCCCTCAGTCTGTGGGAGGGGAGGTGGAGGGGAATGGTGAAATGCTTGTGCTGCTGGATGGTGGTACGAAGCCATTGTTGGCAGTGCTTGGTGAAGTCGTCATGGGCCAAGAAGGGCACTGTCAGCGGGATGTTTGGCTTAGGTGGCGTGAGGTTGCGGTAGATCAAGGCTTTGTTGAGGATGTGAAGAGCTCGGCTGCGGCCAGGTTCTTCCAAATTTGCGGCCATACGCCGGATTGCATACACCTCGAGGTCCGTGTGGCGGCCGCTTCTTATCTGTTTTGCTGCCTCAAAAGAGGCTGCGGTGTGTTTGGTAAGGTTGCGAAGAAGTTGGAGGGCGTGATGCTTAGTGGAAGTGTAGAGGTGTGGTTCTCTGAGGGTGTACTGGCGTTGTCGGAGGCGTCGGAAAAGTCGTTTGTGGGTGGCTAGTCTGGAGTAGAAGTGGGCTCTGTGTTTTGCAAACTGCCATCCCTGAGCTTTGAGTTTGAGGTGGTGGGAAATGAAAGGCCAGTTGAGTGAAGGCATCCAGTTGGCGATGTAGTGGTGCTCTTGGATCCAGGCTTGGTCGTATGTGTCATGGGAGGTGAGTTGAATAGTGGTGGATGTTGTTGTGTGAATGCCAATAACGTAGGGAGAGTTCTGCAGAGATGGGAATGTTGTTCTGGAGTTGTTTGAGTTTGGCTCGGCGATTGTGCTCGCGGTGGGGGATGCCGATAGCTGTGGAGCCAACATAGAAGTGGCCATGTTGATGGTAGCAGCGTTGGGGTTGGTCGGGATTGAAGTGGAGCTTGATGTAGACGGAATTGGAAGAGAGGAAGTTGTGGTAGTGGTAGGTGTGGGGTAAAATGTGGAGCTGGCGGAGGCGGTTGCGCCATTGTTGTGAGCGACGGGTGTTGGACGGGTATGCAAAAAGAAGTGTGATGTGGATGAGGCCGGTTGCAAAGATGGCCTCGGCGCGGTCGATGTATTGGGTGCGGTGGATGAGCGTGGAAAGTGCGCGGTGTAGGTGGAAAAGTTGGGTGAGGTTGGTGTGGCTGGGTTGCTGCTGGGCCACGATGGCGAGTCAGCAACCAATGGCTGCTCCGACTCCCACCAGCTGTTGTAGGCTGCGAATGGGGAGTCGGTTGACTCGGTGGAGGGGTAGGCCATACTTGGTGGCTGCTTCTTTTAGCTGCTGCGTGGTGACTTTGCTTGTTTGCAGCAGTCGGATGACTTCTTTCGCAGCTTCTTGGATGGCGGGGTCAAAAGTAGTGACCCATTGTTGGATATCTGGGTAGTTCCAGCCTTCGGGGATGTCGTCTTGCAGGGTGGGGTGAGGTGGTTGCAAGACGTCGGTGATGGCTGGTGGTTTCTGTGGTGGTGGTGTGGGTGCGTGGGAAGGGGCGGCTGGTGCAGAAGATCGGCCGGTGTTCTTGACTGGTGTGAGCGGGTTGCCGAGGTCGTGGAGTTTCTGGCGTGCCCGAGCCAGTTCGTCGTTGGTGTTTTTGAGGGCGCGTAGGGCGGAGCCTTCCGCAGGTGCTGGGGAGTGGGTTTGCAGTTGGTCGATAAGCAGTTTGATGAGGGGAGCGTGGAACGCTCGGGCATGGGTAGTTTTGTTTGGAACGTCTGTGCTCTGTTGTGTGTGGAGAGCCTCCGCGATGCCGTCAAGGTCAAGGCGGTTCTCGCGGAGTTGTTGGAGAAAAAGGGTCACGAAGACCGACTCCGCTATGCTTCTGGTTGCAATGAAACCTGTGAATTTGCCGTTGCTCAGGGTACGGGCAGTGAACTCGGAGGTACCGTGGTAAGCCAATTGCCACGGGAAGACCTCAAAGGTGGGGAGGCCGGCCACTCCTGCTTTGCGAGACCACTGGGTGGGTTGAATCGTGCGATGTAGTTGGTGGCCGTGCAGGGTGTTGGAGTCCCAATGTTGCTCAGTTGGGTTCCAGGAGTCCGGAACGGGTGGTGTGGGAGATGGGATGTGTGGGGGTGGTGGGGCAGGCGCTGTGGTGCCACGTGTGGTGGGTGGTGGCGGTGGGCTGTGTTGGAAGGTCGATGGTGGTGGAGTGACAGGTTCGGCCGTGGGCAGGGGTGGCGGCGGCGGAGGTGGAAACTCCGGCTGGGAGGTGGGTGCCTGGGGTGGGGGTGTGTGCTGCGATGGCGGTGTGTACGGTGGAGTCACATAAGGGTTGGAGTGGTGGACGTGGTGTGTGCGAAGTGCGTGAGTGAGTGGGCCGTAGGTGCCTGTGGGGCTGTAGGTGTGGTGTGCGGCGGTGGGAGGAGAAGTTGTGGTATCTGGGTTGGTGAGCTGCTGATGATGTTGCTGCATCAAATAATGATTCCAGTAATATTGCTGCCACTGCGCGTCCATGGTGGCTGGGCGAAGTATCACTGGATCGTGGGCGTGGAGC